AATAACTCTCACTAAACCTTCAACGTTTATTTTCGGGTCGATAATGTCTCGAGATAAGTTTTTAGTTATCACTGAAAATGCTTCATTTCAGTGACAACAATGTAGGACATGGCGGCAATCGCCTTTTCAAAATAGATGTATATGTTATTCATAACATTATTACGTGAGAGGCTATTTAAAAAAATACATTTTTTAAATTTTTGAACAAACAAAAGAATACGGCAAAATATAATTTATGTCATCTCACAGCGAACATTCAGCACTATCACTATAGTGCAATTTTTTAACTGTGCACCTGTCTTCATATTGACATCACTGCATTTCGTGTCTTTCTCGGCCGTGCCGCTAATGTCGCACAATCGCGACCTGACCGAGAATGACGCGAAATGCAGTGTCATAATGCCAATGTGAAGACTGGGCTCAGGTGCACAGTTAAAAAAATCGCACTAGACCAACAGTTTAAAGAAAAAAAATTGTAGCCGTTTTCGAGAAAATGTAATTTTTTAAAATTGCAAATATTTTACGCAATATTGCGCGAAAACTAAAAGGTTCAAATAATGTACATGATCTTATCGAAAGAAGTAGGGAGAACAAATTTCATTTGAAGGAAAAATCTATATCTTCAAGTTTTGTAGTTGTAAGAAGACGCTGAAAGAAATTCAAAGTTTTGCCATTTTCGAAATTCAGATACAACAGTATAAATAGGATGTGCCACCTATACAAGTGTATTTTACTCTATTCTTACAATAAATTAAAAGAAAAAATGGAGCCTTTTTTGAGAAAATTTTGAAAACGTTCCAGAAGCTTCATGTAAAGTACATCCCAAAATTAATGAACGTGTTTCAAAACCGCAGATCTTCGATGCAAGCCAGTATTGTCGAAAATCCGCCGTTTTCTTTTTTTTCTCCCCACAGTATTACAAGTTTTTCTCTCTTCTGTGTAAGCAATAGCAGGAAACTAAAATGGAGCCTTTAAAAAAAGTTTTTATTATTTTTGAATAGTGCTTACTATATTTGAGTAAAAAATTGGGCGAAGGCGACCAAAATTTGAAAAAGATATGTATTACGTCAAGGAAAGAATTAATTACAGAGAACAAATTTCATTTGAAGAAAAAACTATCTTCAATATTGTAATGGGAGGAAAACGCCAAAAAATGAAAACCAGTGCAATTTTCGAAAACGAAACCACAACCGTTCTCTTTAGCCCTTCACGCTATTCGAAAAAAAATTTAAGCAAAAGTTTCGGACCCTTGTTTTAATGTTCCAGGGGCATTATGTAAAGAATCCCCCAAAACTAAAACATCGGTATCAAACTGAAGGGGCCGCGACATCAGTCAGATGGATTGGAGAAAATCATGAGGATTTTCATGAAATTTGATAAGGTGCTAGCGTTGTTTACAGACACGTTTTTTCCGTCAATCGATTTTTCGGTATTAAAGACCCACAAAATATGGATTCTGACTAAATATGCTAAAGTAATTAACTATACAGGTGATTTTTTTATCTTGACACAACTAAATATCTTGAAAACTACGAACCGTATCAAGAAATGTTTCGAATAAAATTTGTCTCATAGGGGCCTATTGCACGATACCAATCTCGACCTGCCACCTTCACCCCCTGGGGGTGGGGCAACTTGCGGATTTCAAATGGAACCCCTATTTTTTTTACAGCGAATTCAGATTCTCCGAAAAAGAAAAAAAAAACTTTGAAACTTTTTTTTTGTTTTCCAGTAGATGGCGCTGTAATCGGAGAAAACATTTTTTCGCAATTGTGGTGAAATTGCACCAGGGGGTGAAAACACATGGTTATTTTCAGAATCTTATCTAGTATTGATAAGGGTGAGCACCCCCAATCTCTGATAGGGAGGGGGTAACTTTTAAATTTTAAATGGAACAAATTTCAAATTGCTATAACGTCGGGGGTGCTTGTTTTAGGTGAGTCCCCTTGCCTCTCACCGTCGGGGTGCTTGCTTTAAATAATCATTTCAACAAGTGCTCAAAAACTTGGCCACCCACTTCGATGCATTTATTTATCCGCACTTGGAAAGATTGAACACAACTAAGAAGTTTGGGGGGCGGAATCTTACGACATGTAGCGGTGATTCGCTCAATCACGTTCTCGCGTATTGTTGGCAGTTGATCATAAACTTCATCCTTCAAGTGACCCCAATAAAAATCAGGGGAAGTAAGATCTGGTGATCTGGCAGGCCAAGCTACTGTACCACCTCTTCCGATCCACCGGCGAGGGTACACGCGATCTAATACTTCTTGTGCTTCTCGATAATAATGAGCTGGACAACATCCATGTTGAAACCACATTGTTTGTCGCACGTTAAGGGGAAGATCTGCAAGCAGTAACGGAAGTTCTTTCTCCAAGCAGTTTCGATATTTTTCACCATTCAAATTCCCGTCGATGCAATACGGGCCGATGAGTTTGCCGCCAATTATACCACTCCAAACATTCAGGTTGCAAGGGCGCTGATGTTCAACTTGACGTAACCAATGTGGGTTATCGGTACTCCAATAATGCATGTTGTGTCGATTGATTGCACCGTGATTCGTGAAAGCTGACTCATCAGAGAACGTTATTCGATTTTGAAAATCATCGCCATGAATTTCTTGATGCAAGGAAACATGAAACGAATGATATTTATTGGTATTCAATATTTTCCAAACAGTAGTCTAATTACCGCAACATTACTCATTTGTCGAGTACTGATGTGGGCATTATGGGCAACTGCAGGTAGTACCACAATTTCATTCTATTTCCCAGCAACCGTTCTTCGGGGGTTCCCCTTTTTTTGGCTGAATACTTCCCTCGGTAGAGAACTGTTGAACAACCCGCTGAAATGAAGCGCGTGATCGTACCCCGTATAGAAAACGTTGAGCATAAATAGTAACAGCATCATCAAGATTCCTGCCACATTCTCCATAAATTAACACCATTTCATTTTTCTCTTACAACGTTATAGCCGCCATCGTAACCAATACAGCATTCAATAAAAATTACTAAGAAATGAAGGAACCTGACTCAAAAGGAATGATGCGTACCGATTGAAAGTAGACCAAAAACTGAGGTAACCTAACTCAAGAAGTCAAGAACGGTGCGTGGAGAATGGAAATGGACTGAAAAGTTTAAAAAAGCGATATGCTCCCAATCGTTCCAAACCAGGAACTGAAGAACGATGTGCATCCAATGGAAGCAGACCATAAACTGAGAGCCGAAGTGCACGGAATGGAAGCAGACCAAGGAATGAAGATACGCAATTCAAAAAATGGTTGTTGGACTTTCCGGCGTACACAAGACACAATCAATTTACGATGTCATCCCGCAATGTTTGTTCAGTTTTTAATGTTTAAAAACTTTACATTCAAAACTTATTTTCGTTTATTTTGGAACGTTTTAGCAAGAACTTGGAAGAGCCGTCACGTTCATGCGCCCATTACTCTCTGAGGCGTTGGTGGTTTCTGATCAACGGAATCTGACGCAGCGGTATGCGTGTCACCAGTCCAGCTCTCAACAGACGGCGTCGGACCGTTGACGCAGATATGATCACACCCGTTGCAGTGCTTCAAAGTCGAGCCGACATTGCAGACAACGCCGTTCAATCGGTTACGGCCATGCGGACAAGATGGCGGTCATCTTGCGATGTGGTCACATGGAGTGGTCCATCACCCCTTGTTTAGCACTATTTCATTCACTTTTGAACGTTATAACAATTTGAAATTTAAAAGTTACCCCCCTCCACACACACACTATCAGAGGTTGGGGGTGCTCACTCTTATCTATACTAGATAAGATTCTTAAAAGCAACCTGATTTTTTATCCCCTGGCACAATTTCACCAGAATTGCCAAAAATTGTTTCCTACGATTACAGCGCCATCTACTGAAAAAAATGTTTCAAAGTACGTATTTTTTGCGGAAAATCCGAATTCGCTATAAAAAATACGGGTTCTCATTTGAAATCCGCAATTTGCCCCACCCCCAGGGGGTGGAGGTGGCAGGTCGAGATTGGTATCATCCAATAGGCCCCTCCGAGACAAACAAATTTTATTCTAAACATTTCTTGATACGATTCTTCGTTGTCAAGACATTTAGTTGTCCCAAGATACAAAAAATCACCCTATATATACGGACAAGATTTATCCACTTTTTCTTTAAAAGCCGAATCCTCTTCCTTATCTTATTCTTGAAGGTCAGGGAGTCAGTTATTCAGTCAGGCAAAGGAATGCATTCTGTTTATAGAGTATCATCTGCCTAGTGTCCTGGTGTGGCCTAGCCTGCCAATGGCGGATCCAGGGGAGGGGGCATGTGGGTCATGCCCCCAAAAAGTCCTAGAGTTTTTGTTTACCTTTCTTTATTCGACAAAATAGATTTAAATGTTAATGTTCGAATTATGTAATTATTTAAACAATAATATTGTATAGTATATCCAACTACATAAATAATATACATTATAATCACAAATATGTTTATTATTTAACAAAAATCTATGATGTCCCCCCCCCTTTTAATCGGCTGGATCTTCCCCAGCCTGCCCCTTACTGTGCCACCCTGCACAGTCCTAGCCTTGTTCTGCCTTGCCTCTGATACTACCCGCCTTACAGGCAGAGTGTGCATGTCGACATTTCAAAATATATTATTCATATGATTAATGTTTATAAAATAATACACACAAGTATAATCCGCACATTAAAGACACGTACGTGCAGCTGTCAAATAACACATTGGCTATGATCGACATCGTAGTTGCGCCGGAAAAGGGATGATTACATAGCATGTTATAGAAATAATATACTGCGACATGCCGAAAATAATTGGAATATTTGGTGACACTATTATATTGGGAAAAGACAATAGATAAATGAACTCTTTTGTAATAGGTACCTATGGGGGCACCAATAAATGGGTAGAAGGGGCCATGGAGCAAGACTAATGGATACAGCGCCGCTGAGAAAAAAAAAAAAAAAAAAAAAAAAAAAAAAAAAAAAAAAAAAAAAAAAAAAATCCACCATGAATAATCATTCCATTGTTTTAATCTCTGAATCAAGTACGATTGTTAACAGCTACTCGGAGCAGTGAGGATAGTGATATTAGGGCATCGGAGGGGACAAAATACGAAGATGTCTTCCACCCGAGAAGATGAAGAGCCCGCAAAGATAGGTGACGTATATTGAATAAAAAAACTATTTTCAATAATTTTAGAAAATATTCGAAACTGATTTTAAAAACTTACAATTGAATTATAGAGTAATTGAAATAAAATACAAAATGCTGATTATTAATTATTAAAAAAGAGAATTTCAAGAAAAACGTGCCCATTCGTACGAATAGCACGTCTACCAATTGCAATGGCGGCGGGGTAAGTAAAATTACGAATCGAACCCGCCTGTATTGAACTAGTATAGCAAGCAGGGCAAAATTTGGAACAAATAAAATAAGAAAGCTTTACAATACATAAAACGGATATCTTACAATCCCCCTCGATATTTTCTTAAAAGTTGGCGCTCTTGTTTCCCCATAAAACTGAACCATGATCCACCAGTATGTCTTGAAAGTCTAAAAACTCATTAACTAGTTAAAACAATCTTTACACAAGTTCTCATTCAAATAAATAAAATCTAATGTAATCAAAGCTTACCTCGTGATATTTCACTCCGAGTTTCATCATCTATAACCTGTCCCTCAGATTGTGAATGATTTGCATTACAAGATGGTGCCATATCACAAATCTCACTGTCAGAGACAAACTCTTGTAAATCAGAAATATGATCAGGTATTGAACATTCAACATTATTTCTGTCCTCATTATTACTATTTTCACATTTTTCTGAAGATCGATTGTTGACTAATGTCGGAGGGTGTTTCACAATTTTCTTCAGACTCTCACAAGATATTGATGAACAATCATGTGAATTTACACCACTTCTTGAATTTTCAACTGTCCTATCACACTGATCCGATTTCTTATTTGAATTATCACTTTCGCCCACAGACTCATTTGTTGAAGCAGCATCATTTTGTAAGTCAGGTAATACACTTGAAATGTTGCAAGAAATGGAACATTCAACTTCTTTTCTTTTCATATCTTTATTTTTTTTATTCTTCTCAGAAGTATTTTGCTGGTCAACTGCTGGTGCCTCACTGTCAGAAGCTTCATGATACACTAAAGAGCAACTTGTTGGTTGCATTTCTTTATTATGGTGTTTTAAATGCTCCATGTTCTTTCCTAACACTTTCAATTTAGAAGCAAGTTGAGTACCGGTCGAGATGGCATATTTGCGAATATCTTGTTGGTTTGCAACCTTCCTACTAACCAATTTTTTTGTATTTGTACAAGAAGATAGCGGTGAATATACACTCACATTACTTTTCTTCTTCTTCTTCTTCGATCTTGAATCTGAAAACAAAAGCAAGAAAACTATTAACACAAGAATTTTAAGACACGAGACAGTAATATGCACCTTGCAAAAAGATACATTAGTAATTAATTTTTAAGCAATCCTTCTGCTATACATTACTTTTAGTTACAGTATGTTGCAAGTTGCACTATTTTCAAAAGATACAGCTCAGTTTTTTTCTGTCGCCGCCGGCATTTGCGAGTAGAGGGGGAAGCTGAAATCTGTGGGGAGGGAGCCAGGTGGAGCCGCTGTTTCGCGTCTGTTTCGTCTGCCCATTTAAAAAATATTAGCCTACCGCACAGCACGTCTAGCGTACTTAGAAACTTGATTTGCTTTAGTCTTCGCTCGGTAGCGGAGAAACACGTATTTCACGTGATGGTCCGATTCTGCTCTCTTTATCCATATGTCTCACTGTCACTTGAACCAGTTTCCTCACCATCATAGCATCACCACCACTGTCGTTACTATGGTTTGCGTCGTTTCGGTAAAATAAAGATTTCTTGATACGGTGCATTCAGTGCCGGAGCTATTCCATTTTCGGTCCTGGGCAATGCTAAAACGTAGCCTCCCCCTTCGAAAAAATTAAAAATGTGAAAGTTGTATCAAGAATCTATCGAGTTATTTTATTTCAACAAATACAAATTACGTTTAAGACAGAAAAAGTTTTTGGGAATATATTTCAAATGATAGTTTTAAGTAAAAGTAGTTATCAAATAATACGATTTCCACTGTGAGCATAAAACGCTAAAAATTTTGTTTTTAGTTAGGGCTTAAAAAAATCACTTGTTAAATGCATGAAATAATAAATATGAATTTCAGTAGAACCTATATTAATGTTACCGTCATTTGATTCATTTCTTCGATACTTACCTGATAAGTAATGACTGTAATTAATTCTTGAACGTAAAAAAAATATTTTCGGATCTTCCGCGACGTACAAAATTACGATTTTTTCGAGTTATAATTTTTCCCTTCACCGGGCCCCTTGACTTGCTGGGCCCCGGGGGATTTGATCGGACCGCCCATGTCTAGCGCCGGCACTGGGTGCATTACATCATTGTGCGGTGAATCTCACATTCACTGAAACCGTCGAGAGCAGATTTCATGTTCTTCTTCTCTTTATTAGTAGCTGAAAATGAACATGATTTTCCTGATTTACTGGAATTCATTTCCTTAATAATTCTACGAATAGATCTTTTCGAAATAACCGTAGCCGCCACCAATCTCTTAAGAACTGATTTAACATTTTTAAAACGTTATTTTTCTCTCGTCATCAACTGATACACTTCTGCAACGACTTCACGCGCCTGACTGAAGAACTTTCTTGTGCGATATGCCCTGAACCGGTCGCATTGCAATAATCACTTAACAGAACCTCACACAAATCACATTTAATTTCTCGACTAGTAGCACAGCAACTGAGTTTGCACCACGCGGATACGAAAAGTCAAGGTCAGTGTTTACACAACTGGAGTAGGGGTATCAACTCGTACTGGGAAGGGATGCCCCCCCCCCAACCGACAAGTTTGAGGAATGAACTCTTCCGGCAGCTCTGAGCCCTTGTCCTTCAGCGACCGCGCTAAAATAATTTCCCCGTACTATCGCTTTCTTCTATCACAGGATTACAAAATTCCGTCACAAATTATCCAATTCGAATAATTCTGAGCCTTGATTGTTGGAATTAATAGCTTCAGAGAGCTCGTGGCTCAGAGCGAAGTCGCCCGTCTTTCACTAAGGAGGTCCGGGTTCGATTACCAGACAATCTCGTGTGAAATTTAAGATAAAAGGAGTTTGGCTGCTTCACAAGGGTTAGTCCAACCCTGTGAAGTGCCCTAAACTATACCACACTTCTAATTCCTTCACCGCTGGGTAGTGGCGCGGGATCGTGCAAGGGAGGCGCGTACGCGGAGATGCTACTTGGCGGTCCTCTTCACGACTCCTAACAGACTAACTTAAAGACTAGACTATAATATAACTAGTGGTGCTCGTTTTATTGAAAACAGCTACGTAATATTGAAGAGTTGCATTTTTTGCGCTACTAACACCTCAGCCAAAACTTGAAAACGTCCAATTAAAAAAAACAAAGCGCATATGGTGCATATCTGCATTAATTTCGATAGTCACGAGCAGCAATCATTTCTTACTTTGACACACGAAACAAACAGGAATACATCTGACTGATAACACTGATTCGCAACAAATTATACAGAAGAGAGCAACGCACTGCGCAGCGTTGTCTGTGTGCATTCGCTAAGCGAATAACAATTCTTCGCAAAAAAGTTTATTTCCAACAACATTCAGATTTCAATTTTTTTATCGGTTAGTAGTAGAACCGCCTGAACCTGCATTGACACCGCCTGAAATGAAGAGCATGAAAATAAAACTTGAAGGTAATACGATCGTTAGATCGACTACGGTGTAGTACCATCTCCCCCAAATACTTTAAATGAAAGTACGTTCTTCACGACGTTAAGAACAATTTGGCCCTTACCGGCATAATTTTGGAATAAAAGAAGTTTAAATTAGTACAGGCTCTTATGGAAAAACGTCTGAGGGCATAGGTTTCTTTAAGTTTTTAAAGAAGTTATACTGTTAATGTACCTTTTTCTTTTATTCAATACGCAGAATTATGTTAGGGATCAGATATTAAATGGTATATAACATACCTCACCAGGCATTCTGAAGAGTATTTTATAAAAACTCCTGCGAAATTCATAGCAAACGCTATGGCTCATACACCTTCATTTCATACAGCTAAATCATAAACATTTCTTTTCTTGCCGTACTATACCCAGACCGATCGAACCGAGGCCATCATCGCCGTATAAACCACCCTTACACTCAAATTTCCTAAAACCTTCAACATTCCAAATACATTCTCACTTTCAAATCATTTCACAAATTGTTTCTCAACAAGTGGAAATATTCCTTTCGAATGTTTAAACAAAATAATCCCCGTTCTTACTAACACATCTCTTAAATTCTATTATTCACAAATTTATGAGTAAAAATAACCCTCATCATTCAATCCGCCTTATATCGTGGGATGCAAATGACCTACAACACAGTATACAAACCCCACGTTTGAAAATTTAAGCGTTGCCGTACAGCAAACCGGACAATCCCCATCGTGACATCTATATATAAACCCCCGATTATTCTCTACAAACGAGGACGTATCGATCCGCTGTTTTCATCAAATCAACCAACAATTGTTGCGGGGACTGGAACGCCAAGAACACAATAAGGGGTACAGACTCAATTCTCCAACCGGCAACCTCCTTCTTGCAGAGATTGAAAGATTAGCTCTATCAATGCAGGCTCCTTATTATCCCTATCAAACAAGCAGACATTCTCGACTTTGGTAACTCTAGCTATAATATTGTCGTAGAGTCACACGGCCCTCCCATCAACCCATCTCACTCTTTTCTCCCTAAATACATCATTAAAAGAAAATCGCCCAGTTCAGCCCTTCTACCTTCAAAAAGTCAACTGGCCTCATTTTCAGATCCTGATTTCTCGCATCCTGCCGCCACTTCCTTCTCTCAAAATCCCTCAAGAAGTTGACAGGGCCATTGACTCCTCATCACACCATTCTTGATAGTTTAGACCTAACCTCCCACTGTACGACAGCGCAACCCACTACTACATATTGCATCAATCTTTATATCACAAACTATTATATCACAAAAGATATAAACGTAATCACTGTCAAAACATCGTTCCCCTTCTTAAAATCCTACCTAAATCTACTCACTAAAATAGCAAGACACTCGTATCTTTGGGCAATATCTAACGCCCAATATCTTCACTTTCAAATTCAAACCGCCAACCCAACCGATTACACGCTGTAGAATATCACTCGCCGTCTCTTGCGAAAACCAACTACTATACCCTCTCTAACGACCGCAACGTACATAGCAACAACACCTGCAGATAAAAGCAAAGTACTTGGTGAATACTTTGCCGCAACCTTCACTCCCCATCTTTCGGAAGACCACATCCATGATAATTTACCCATCGAAGAAATCCACCGAACTAGAACAAAAAGTTCCAAGATGCCCAAAATGCATATTTCCCACCGCAAGTGCCAAACTTTTATCTATCGCTAACTCAAAAGTTTCCAATGGCCACGACCTGATTCCAACATACGTACTTGAATACCTTCCACACACAGCCATTTTACCTATAACATCAATATTCAATGCATCTCTTCGTCTGCCATACTTCCCTTGCTAACGGAAATACGTCCACATTATTTCCATTGGGAAATCAGGGAAGTCACAAAATGACCCGTCAAGTTATCGCCCAAGTAGCCTACTGTCTTTTTTAGGAAAACTGTTTGAAAAACGTATCCTCACCGAATTATTGTCCCATCTCAGCTCAGTCAAAGCCATATCTTCGCACCAATTCGATTTCCAACCTGTACTTCCTACAAATCACCAAATATTAAGACTAACCGAAGAAATAATCAGAAGGCGTTCATGTAAGAAATACAGTCGCGATTTTCCTCGATGTAGCTAACGCTTTTGACACCGTCTGACAAAAAGTCTTCACCCCTGCGACTTCATGTAGCTTCTCATCTACACCAATCAATGATTCGCTCAATCTTATTCTACGCTTCTCCCGTCTAGGCCTCAGCCAGCAAATCAAATAGATTTAGACAGAGATAGATCCAGAATAGATTTAGAATTTAGTAAAGCTTTCGAGTCTAGATTACGACATCCTAATAGCGAAATGTAAAACTCTAAGTTCCTCTTATTCCATCATCTCTTGGATTGCAAGCTATCTCTACAATATGCAACAAATTGTAGTAGTTGACGATCCACACTCCAATCCAAAACCTCTCCACCGAGGAGTACCTCAAGGACCCGTGTTAGGGCTACTGTTCTAAATTTACGTGAATGACCTATGAAGCGTACTTAGAAAATGTAATCATTATATGTACCCTTTTCTTACATCTTAATTATTCTAGATTTCAGAAATCCCAATATCTCTGTATTCCAAAAACCAAGACCTACTATCATAAACCGTTCGCAATAACTATAGCCCGGGAGTGGAATAAATTGCTTTCCATTATTAAAAATTGCTGCTCATTAACATTTTTTTAAGGAATGGTTGAATGGTTTTCTTACAAAGTAGAATACACCATTTTACAATTTAAATCGCTGTAGATTACCAGTCAAATCAAACCTATGTTACCTTAAGTTACTTTTACCTATTCCTTAAGTAACTTAGCTTACTTTTACCCATTCCTCAGGCGTGTTAACAACATATTAATATATTTTAGAAATATAATTAATGTACTTTAGTTGAAAATGTTATTTTCTCGTGACTTGTTTAATACTGTATTTTCATCCGCAGGAGCAGAGGAGGATTTAAACAAGAAAACGACCCTGTGCATCATGGACAGCAGCTGAGGAAATCATCTCGAAGACCTGTTACTTGATATTAGCTTAGTTTTCATTGTATTAGCACGCAGCCTGCCTGGTGGGTTTTCCTCCAGGATCGAGCGGTGGATGAGGTGGTGAATTTCTGTATTAATAGTGTAATGTATATTGCGTCATCTGCCGGGATTTGCTGCGCGGATTGCGTCATCTGCCGGCGCCCCCCGAACTGGACGATTCGCGGTTAGACGCGAGACGCATAGAAGTAAGGCGCATGTGCCCGATGGCTCGAGACGGGCGCCGGCCAAGTATAAATTCGCCGCTGCCGGCGGCCGCTGGAGTAGCAATCAATGTAAGTAGTCAGTGAGTAAGCAGTAAGTCAGTGTGAGTTTGCAGCCTGCCTGAAGTCTGTAGTGGAAGCTGAGCTGTGAAGTGTGCATCGTCGTGAACAGCAGTGCAGTGGACCCTGATCAGCGCCGTGAATTGTGGTTAGCGCAGTGGACCGTGGACAGAGCATCGGACTGGGCAATAGTGTAGAATTGAATAGTGTAAATAATCAGAATAAGTGAACAGAGTAAATAAATAATCAAGAGAACAGAGTCGTGAGTTAGGAAATAACCAAGTGAAGAACACAAGGGCTGTGCTGTGTAACCCATCTGTAAATAAATGTAGTATTTTTAGTGTTTTATTAAGAAACAAAATAAACGTTTTTGTTTAAATATTACCTCAAAGAAACGTTACAATAGATCACAGTCGCTCGGGGTGAATACCAGGCTGCTGCGTAGCGCGCATATAAATGGAGCACATAATATGTTATTCAATTCAAATTTTTTTCAATCTTCGTCTATGAATTTAAAATTATTTTAAACAATTTTTTGTAACATTTCTGTATCCATTTAACCTCTGAAGTTATTTATTTATAAGTTGCTTTAAATTATGTTTATTTACCACAACTTACCACATGCAAAGTTTCTTCCAATATTCATCCCAGTCACTCTGTATTCATTTCTCGATAGGCGGTTTACTACTTGATGACACTACATTGTCTATAAGCACATCGAGAAGATATGAACCTTCAAGTTTCTTATGCATTTGATAATATTATGATCGTTTATGTCAGGAACATATGGACCTTCCAGTTTCTTATGCATTTGAGAAGAGCCAATTACGATGGTTTGTGATTTTGTAGGATTTAAATTGAATCCATTTCTCATTGACCATTCGACTACAAATTAGAGTTCATTGTTTCATTTATTTGTTAGCATTTCTATGTGATGGTTTCCAGTTAATACTTGATAGGACTAAGAAACTTGGGATGTTTCGTGTGTTGAGAGGTTTACATACGAATTACATTTACATTATAGATTACATTACATTTTTAAACTAATATAGGGTCTTGTTCGGACCCTTACAGAAAATCACAAAAAGTGTATATGAATAGAGTACACAGAAGAGTGTGTAAACAAACTTTCCGAAGCAACAGGAAGAAAGTAGAATGGGAGATTAGAAATCGGGAGGGTTAAGGCAAGACTCTGTACCCTGTACAAAGTTTATCCGTTTATCCTTGGAAAGTTATCAACATCCGACTCAGTAATCTTACATACTTTAGTAGAGGGAATAACAAGCATAAAATTCAGTTCAGGCCACAGAGAACAGACGTGGGAAAATTTTCCTTAACAAATAGAAGAATGGACTGGAATAAGTTGCCTGCGATAGCCTTGTAACCCTTTACTCCAGGTGTTCAAAGATTAAAAAGTAAATTAACTAATGATATTTGTTAACTTTAGTAATTAGTAAGTTAGGTTTAATAAATAGTTATTGTATTATTATTAATATTATTATTGTGATAATTATTATTAAATGCAATGCTTTATTAAGTAGATAATCCTGATATTCGCACCTGACGACGCCACAATATGCTGTGTCGTGCTGTTGATAGTACTTGGCGCGCAAGCAGCAGTGTGCAAAGCAAATGTGTTCTCACAATCTACCATTAACACTACACACTGATTTAGGTTCCGTAGAGGTTGAGTTTAGATATCCAAAGTGGACAAAATTTGAAATGAAAAATACTTGCCTTTTTCGTGTAACTCGAACGATTTAATACCAGTGTCTTGTGATTTATATTCATCCAAAGAGTGCCTGATGACATTCAAGTATCGAGACCTCATTGACTGCCATGTACGCCCTGCAAATTAAAAAACATCAATAAACGTAACGTGTAGACGGAAAATGGTCAGTTAAGATCTTAAACAGCACGTAAGCACACAGCCTCTGCCCCTGCTTACGTCGTCAGCTCTAACGCATTAAGGTCTGATAAATTAATTGTTGGCAAGGAAAATAAATATTCACAATCCATTGTTCTACCACGTATAAACAACCAAGGATGTTAATTACCATAAACAGTTTAGCTTAAGGTGCATTTTCACATCAACCCTGTGTTGCGGGGACTTTATAAAAGTACAGAGCCGAGGATTTGAATCCTGCATGAGGCATGGAGGTTTTCAGTTGTATTGTACTATGGAGGCATGGCCATCCTTTACTAAAGACCATGACACACTGCGAGCCTTCCAGGCAGGGGTACTACTGCTGTCACAATGCTCCATGCTTTCCCCACTCTTTCCGTAATAAGTGCGAATTTTCCTAAACACATTGCCGAAGGTGACGTAACATTAATGATTTAATAATTGAATCGGGCTCAAGAGAAATGGAACAAGTCTTTTTTGCAACTTCAGGAGGAAGGAAACATTAAATAATACTCACACATTTTATATTATCCTGCCCAATTTTTCTGTGTCAATTCACTAAACACTGTTATGACTTGATGCCTTTCCTCACAGTACAATTTTCTGTGCCTTAAAGAACATTAAAAAATTGCATTTTTAACTTGTTCCATTTCTCCTCAAGCTGATGCAATTACTAATTGTGAATTGCCAGCCATTATATTGCAGAAATTATAGTTTTAGAACAGCGTTAGTAGAAAAAAACAGTTTATTACAGAATATATATTTTGATGTATTAAAAGTATTTATTTTCTTCCCTCCCCGTTTTGAAAATTCAAAATGTTTTATGCACACATTACTAGGTACGTTTAGCTCGAGATACGTTTTTATTCTCCGAGGCCTCTTTCATCTTCGCTCGAAAATTTAAAGACAAAACAAAGCCTTCTTTAGTTCATGAATAAACACAATGGCAGAGAATCACACAGTCTATTGGTATCGAAAAGCAAGCAAGAAAAATATCAATAGGAGGAAAAGCAGATTGTATGTGCAGGTGTGTGTGTGTGTTGTGTGTGTGTGGTATATAATATATATTATATATAATAAATATATATATATATATATTATATATTATATACACATTATCTAAAAACATGCCTTAGTATTCATAAGTAAATGAGGACAAGAAGAAAGAATCCTACTTTCTCCTGTTATGAACCCCAAGAAATTTGTAGCATTGTGGGTCGATGACAAAACTATGTTACTCAAATATCACATAATTTAACAACCACAGTGGCCAGAAAAAAGCAGGCTATTTAACATTATAAACCTTTAACATGCTGAAAAATGGAAATAAAAAAAACCGGTTCTCCAGATATCAGCATTTTCACTAAAAGGACAGCAAAACACAAACAAGATTTTACGGCTCGTTACCTCTTAACACGTTCAACCTGTTAAGCACGGTAGCTCACCGTAATACACAGATATTCAGATCGTGGCCATGACAACAACACTGAAACGCACTGAAACCCAATAGTAACATTCGCCCTTGTTGGATCCCGGACTGTTGTCAAATCGAAGTGCCACGGCCTTTCAGTAAAGGACGGTCATGATGGAGGGAGGGAATTCTCAGTCTCTCGTCTATAACATGTAAACTTTGTTCCTTCGCTAATCCCGTCTTACTTGGTAACAAACAGGGTGACTACCACAATGGGTCTAGGGATTGTGATGGTGCAGGACTATTAATAGAATAGGTCTAACCCCTTAAAATGGTAAAGCGCCGAGGTGGTCCCAGAGGTCACCTAGACCATTGACAAAAGCTCTAAACCAAGACAGACCTCAGGGCTACCTACGCATGGAGTTGGGGCGGGGGCTAAGTGAAAGCTCAGGTTTTGGGGGTTTTCTCGGACGATCAATAGTACCATCAGTGTTCCGGAAAATTACTTCAAGTGATGACTTACGGCAATAACGCCTATGTATTATAACTGAATACGTTGGTCTGATAAGTTTTGAGAGAACTAGAAAACTTATCAGAACACCACATTGAATTATAATAGGAACAACTTTACTCTGGACTGAATTTCATGTATTTAGATAGTTACACAAATACTGAAGTTTGTTTGGAAAACGAGTAACATAGGAAAAACTAGAGGTGCTACAACAGCACATACTTTTAGGCACTATTGGAAATATTTACGTTCTATTGAAATATTGTAATTTCTCCGTCACTAAACACACAGTTTTATATTGGAAAAATCCAATTTAAAGGAATCGCCTGCGTTAGGAACAGAAGTAATTATTAACTTTTACATGATGAATGACAACATGAATACATTACAGTATTTGCAGCATACACAGAAAAGAAAGAACAATATTCAACTTCTTAACGTAAAAGATGTATTAGTTCAGTGGTACAGGAGGTTTTTGTACCGCTCTAATACCCTACTTGCAGACGTAATTTATTTAATTTAATTTTAGGAGTGAAAACATTACAACAGATTACTGTCGCAATTTTCTGATACAATTTAAAATTTAAAGTTTGGTCTTTTCTTCTCGTTAACAAATTTATCAATGACAATAGAAATATAATTTTTCAATCACATAGTTTTTTGTAGTCAATGGATTCATAAATTAGTTAGACTGTCTTTTGCCATTTTATTTCGTAAATAAATTTTAATCAGCTTTAATTTTGAAACATTCTCTCGGTGTTGGCGATCATGACAGGAAGACCTAGAAATAATGTCGATACTGTACTCAGATCGAGAGAACATGTTAATGAAATAACGAGCAATGTCCGCAATTTCCGTAATTTCTGCAGAATATTTTTAATTAAGATTCTATCCCGTAACTGGTGATATGGTGGCTGATAGTACCCCAACCTTTGAAAGACAACAAATCAGCGCGAAGAGGATGCGAAAAGGAGCTGATGCTTCTGAATACCTCTCACGAAGTCAGTTGTACTGCGAACCCGGTGGTTGTCACATTATTGAAGGTGTGCAGAAACTTATTTTATTTTTTTCTGGCGCCTGGAGTACAGTCAAACCCCACCTCACCGATGACGTAGTTTTTATCCCGTGTTTATACATATTTCACAAAACTATGAATGCTTCGAGGAGTAATTAGAGGAGATAACCGATGATTTAAGGAATGGGTCAAAGTCATTTTAGAACAACAACAAAAGAACGAATGTAGTGATGAAGAGCTCCAATGCTCTCATGGATCAGTGGTGAAATCACTTGCCTTTCACCATCGAGGTTCTGGGTTCGATTCCCGTAGAACCTCATATGAAATTTGTTATGACCAAACGAGATAGCATGCTTGCCTGTGCCTATGCATTCAACTCCTGTGAAGCGTCCTCTTTTTTTCTTTTTTTCGGCGTAGGCGAAGGTCGTTGAGAATTTTGATCTCTGGATCATATTGCAGTGCGCACACAAATTGCGTTTTACTGCTAAGTGTGACGAAGTTAGTGTAGGTTCGCGACGGACCTTGTTCGTTTGCTAGGTTGACGATTAATTTAGTTAGTTTTGTAATTTTATTTTAGTTTTTTGTTTAGTTTTGTCAATTTATTTTAGTTTTAATTTTAGTCATTTTATTTCATTAATTTAGTCAGATGTCATTTTCGCGGGTGTGCTTGCTCTATTAATGCTATTTTATTATAATTATTACTTTATTACATTATTATATAATTTGCAAGTTAGCCGTAGTATTGTATGTAATTAGCTGCCACCGGGTTATGCCCATTTGCAGTTCAAATAAATTTATCTTATCTTATGCTCTCAGTATGCCCGAGGGGAGAGCTTGTCTTTTTCCTATAGTAAGGACATTTCGTTGGAATTGTTTAAACATTGCCGAGCTTCATTTGAGTGAAGGACTTGATATCAACTCTGTTCTGAACTAACTCAAGTCTGTCCTTGTACTTCTGTGCTGTAGTCCACCACGTCGACGCGCCACAGGCAGGCAACACGTTTTATAGAGTGCCAGGCAAAGATCCAAGGGGGAGAAGGTTTCTTTAAGAGGGATTTTAGGAGACGGACCCTTTGCTGAAGTTACGATCGGATTCGCCTGACATGTAATGCCAGCGTATGCTCCGATGAAAGTGACTCCTAGGTAAGTTACCTCAGGCACCCTTTAAGTTTTTGGGTTCCGATTGTGATTTGTTTAAACCGCGCAAACCGCTTTGTTTGAGGCGAGAGTAGCAGATTTTCTGCTGAGAAAGTCAAGTGGTTTTTTTTACAGTCTACGTTTTACAGTCTAAGTTTATTCTTCTAAAGACTGCTATGTCATCAGCATAGAGGAACAATCGTATTCGCGGTACCTGTGGTATGTCATTGACATAAAGCGGAAGCAGTAGCGGGGAGAGCACGGAGCCTTGGGGAACTCCGGCGAAAATCCTGCGCTTTGAGGATCTCGCTTTTCCCACTCTGACCACGATCGTGCGGTTTGCAAGGAAAGCTTTAATAATGTCAGTTACATCTTATGGGAGGCAGCGCCTAAGTTTAGAGACCAGTGTTCTGTGTGACACTTTGTCGAAGGCTTGTACCATGTTCAGGTAGACTGGTACATCCTGTGAAAGTAAGAGATCAGTAGAGATCTGCTGGGCCATACATGTCTGTAGTGAGGCTGAATGTCCCGGTCTGAAGGCAAATTGTTCATCTCGTATTACGTGTTGCGAGATGACAGCTGGTTGGATTCGCGCGAGAATTAGTTTTTCAAAACGTTTCCACATAATAGGGAGAATGCTGAAAGGCCTATGGCTCGTCGCGAGACCTTTTCCGGATTTCGGGAGCATTGAAATGCTAGCGTTTATCGGGAAGTACTCGTGTGATGCAGCTGTAGTAAAGGTGCGTGAGTTGTTGATCGGAAACGCTTCCTTGAAGGTTGGGGGAACGATTTGGTCTGGACGCAGTGCCTTGCGACTGTGCATGCTTGTAACGGTTTTTGAAATTCTTCGACAGTACAGTGCGTGAGA